GAAGAAGACCCTCAACAAGATGGATTGACACAGTGCCTGCAGTAATGAGCTCAATCATAGCAATGATTGTGAGGATGGGGCAGGACGGGCAGTGTTTCATTTTGTTGTACATAGGGTTGCTATGAGTCAGAACCAATTCGACGGCACCTAACAACAACAACAAATTGAAATTTTAGGATTTCTTTTATTTCCTGTGATCATAAACCTCTTTACCCATAACCCGTTGCTGTCGAGCGACCCTATAGGACAGAGTAGAGCTGCCCCAAAGGGTTTTCAAGGCTTTACGAAGGCAAACTGCCACGTCTTTCTTCCATGGAACTGCTGGTGGGTTCAAACTGCTGATTTTTTGGTTAGAAGCCGAGCACTTAACCATTGTGCTACCAGGGGTCCTTCATAAAGATCTAGGTATTAAAAATATTCTGGAAAGCTATCATTACTATTATCAGTAGTACGTTTGGTCAAGACTACATATATTGAACACAATTGTAACACAAATATCTACACATTTTGAAAAATAAATTTCAAATTGATAAAATTTTTACTGGAAATGCATTTCTTAGTGGGATTAATCGTGTTCACACTTTTACTATGTATTTAAAGAAAAAAAAGTTATATACACTAAAACTAATTGACAACGGCAGCAAGCACGTTATGTTACTTTTTGTTAACAAAAAACACCAAAAACCAAACCCGTTGCCGTCGAGTCAATTCTGACTCATAGCAACCCTAAAGGGCAGAGTAGAGCTATCCCATAGAGTTTCCAAGGAGCACCTGGTGGATTCAAATTGCCAGCCGTTTGGTTAGCAGCAGTAGCTCTTAACCACTATGCCACCAGGATTTCCGTTTTTGTTAATAGGATATATAAATTATTAAAGACTTTTTAGGGAATAAAATTTGTAGCAAGTTTACTATGATTAGAATAAATATTTTATGATAAATTTTATAACTGCCTTATTGAAGTATACACTGAATCTTAAATCACATTAACATTTTATTTATAGGTTTTAGTCAATGTCTTGTGAATATTTTGAGTCCTGGAAAGCATTCCAGTCATATTTAAAAGAATCTTCCTCACTGACCTTTTCTGTATGGCCCATTTAAGATGATTTAGTTTCTAGTTAATGTTATCTCTTAAGGATATAGTTTAAAGGGACCACTTACATTTAAATACATGAAAAAGCCATTTTTAGTATTCAGTACTCCTTACTGATGCTTTCTTTTTCTGCTGTCATTTGACTCTCTCTCAAGAGATGCCTTCTTTGACAGTTGTTGGGGAATAGAAGAGGTAAAATACATTAAGCAAATATTGTCATTGTTCCTATCACCACACCGCACCATGCATCTGAATTCAGAGCATCCCGACATGTGCCAGCATGCTTTATTCCTATCACTAAGCTTCCCCCTCAACAGAAATGTGTATTAAGGCAGGGAAGTACAGGAAGTCCCTCAGTATGTGTGGTACTTATATTAATCACAAAAATGGGATTCGCTATTGTTTGGTACGTGGGTGGGTGAGAGTGGGAACTTTTTTTGTAAAGATACAAAAGATCTATTTTCCAGGACATTCATTTTAGAAAAATCGAGGATCTGGAAATTGGTTCCTTTAAAACTATCGATGTTCTACAGCCCCTGGAAAGTCTTCATGTACTTCTGCTTGAAGATAACTACTCTGTAAGAATCAGAGAACATGAATTTTCATAATGATTTTATAAGTCCCAATATGTAGTGTCCCTAAACCCCTCCTAAGTTCTCACCTTCCGTAACAACCTATAGTCTGTTGAGGCCAGAGGATTTACCA